TTATTTTTAATTCCAACAGTAATAAAATTATAATCAAAATATTATAATTAATAATTATATACTGTACTAGCATATAACTATATGTTATTCAGTAATTTTTAAATTTTTAAATATAATTAAAAAAAAAAAATAATATACAATTTTTAAATTTTCGAATATAATCAAAAGAAAAAGAACAATAATAACATACAATTTCTTATAAAGTATCAAAATTCGTAAGAATTTTTGTTTGAACAATATGATTTTCAGAAAAACCATGAATCATTAACCTCAATATGCTTGGTACAATGAATACGCAAAAAAAAAAAAAAATGAAATATGTAATTACTGTACATATTTTAACTAATTGTTTTTTTTCTGAAAGCTTAAAATTATATTAGGATAATTATATAATCATATAATTGTGTAGTTAGTTATGTGCAGTGTATAAAAGAATCACCTTATTTTAATAACCTGATTAATTAAAAAGTATTGGTCTGCAGGTCACTTCCGACCTAGACCTCGGAACCAATATATGTTCCTAAAAGCCCCCTCACGGCCACAGGAAATTGTCAACCACTTGTTTATGGATCAAATTTCAGAAAACGGTTACACATAATTTTGAACTTAATATATCCACGTTACACCGGATTTTGTTGAATGCGCCTTTTTATTCACTGTGCCTGATGAAACGTATGTACCTAAGCACCCTCATCCGAATTTTTTTTGCGAAGTTCTTTTTTTTTTTTTTTCAATCCCTTTTCTATCTTTACAATACAAATTTTCTCTTGGGAGTTGTCTATTTTTTAGTTTTGTTAACGTACTCTTTGAAATCCCTGTGTAGTATATCTCTTTATCACAATAAACTGTATCGCAAGTTTTTAGACTAGATAAAAAAAATTTTTTTTGAACATACTCTTCCCTCGTCTGGCGAATAAACGTTATTAATCCAGTTTCGCAAGAAAAAAAAAAAAAGAAAATAAAAGAAAAATAAAGTTTCCTATCCATTTCGATTCTTCATATCATATTAAACTTAACACTTTAAAAATTAACGAAAGAACTTTACGTCAAATATAGTACGTATAAATACATTACTAATAAACACTCAGCCAACTTGCGTGTCTTCCTTTTCACTACCATTATATACAACAACTTTGGCAATCTTTTTGCGCACCTTTTTCAAATAGGTGATTTTATGCTTTCATCTCAATTTTATTATTCGAATTAAAATAGTAGCTTTTTTCGAGGAGAACCCGTGGAGATCGGAGCGTTGAATTAATAAGGTTGTTGAGAGATCGAAAAGCGAACATTTTATACAAGATTTTTTGAAAAATTAGGTCTAGTATTGGTGTGGTTCCGGAAAAGTTGGTTATTTGTGTTCATACTTTAAGTTCTTTGAACCTTGCCAACGTCGGATCCACACAAGGCAAGAAACCTGATTCCGAGATAGTCAGTGAATAGATTAGTTTCCAAAAAAAAACTTTCAATATACCATGCCTCCTCACACAACTTTACAATATACCATGCCTTCCAATACCACTACAAATTCAAAGCCAACTTCAATCACATCTTCAAGCGGTATTACTCAGTTAGCCGCAACTCCCAAACCTTCAAACACCAACGCAACTACTCGGCAAAGGAGGGCAACCTCTGCATCGTCCTACGTTTTTGCACCAAGTTGGTTAATAAATAATAAAACCGTGCCTGCGGTAACCGAAGGAAAATCTACGAAGGAGGATGCAAAAGGAGTGGGTTCGTCTAAGAAGGAGGAGTTGGGTGTTGTTAAGCAGGTGAAAGGTAAGACATTTAAAGATTAGCGATATGCAAAGAGAGGTTTTGGGCGGTGCGATTTATTTCAAAGAAGCATATTTACGTTAGCATTCCTTATGGAATGCTTTTAAAATTGATCCACGCCCTTTTCATTTTTTCTAAAGAAAATGATAATGTACATCATCAATTCGGGAACTTATTTATAATACATTTATTATCAGATGGAAACTCTTCTCTTAGCAGCTTTGCACATGCGTCAGCCAATGGCTCCGCGCAGTTAACTTCCATTCGAACAAAGCCGAAAGATTTTTCTAGCTCTCGCTTGAAAACTTTGGAAGAGACTGATGGAAATGAGGTTGTTATTTGGACAATGATTTTCTCGTCTTTATTCAGCATTCGTTTTAAATTCTGAAATTTTCCATATCACAGGAAGTAGCTAAGACGCTTCACGGGCGATCACGTTCTGTGTCTCAAACGAACTCGTCGACCATTTCGTCTTCGCCGTCAAGTTTTGATCGGAATTTTGTGAGTATTAACGAAAGAAAGATACTGTGCATTCTATTTTTTCAAATCATTTCATCCCCTAACTTCGCCTCTCGTTAATCTATCACAGCCTACCCTTGCAAAAAAGAAACAATTCCCGTTGTCTGTTGACCTTCAAACAAAAGGCGTCGATAACATGTGGGGTAAGCACCTTGCC